TTTCTGGGTGCGGCAATGACAGTGGCCCGGTAGCCAGGACCCGGTGCAGGTGCAGGGCATTCTCATCACCTGCGACGCGAAGGAGGGGCAGGTGCCGGGAGGACGCTGCGGCCTTGCATGGGCTGGAAAGCGAGGGGCAAGACAGTGATTGGTGGCTGCCCTGAAGAAAGAACGTGGTTACAGGACGGCTTCTGAGGAGCTGAAGCTAAGGAGATTCCGTCAGCGGGGAGTGGAGCGAATAGTGTTTTCCTCGTCAGGACACTTGGGCTCGAACCTCAGAAATCGGTGCGTCGTATTCTCCAGGACACGTACAAAACCGAGAAGACAGGTCATCCTTCGATGGTTACCCATCTCAGGCACAGGCAAGGTTTCTCAGAAGACAGGGAAAATATCTTTTCAGAACCCTGGTTCAAAGCTCCAAATGAAGGGACACTTCACATTGTACACTGATCTCGAAGTAACAGTCACACGAATTGAGAAGAAGCTCTCAAAGCACTGCAGGGAGAGCAGGAAGCCCCAGTTCAGACAACAGAGGGATCATACCAATCCACCGTACGGTGGTAGCAGAGGTCGTTAAAGCTGTCCGTGGCCTGGGTGTTGTGGAAGAGTCCACGTTGTTCCGAAGATATGAGCTCCTGGAGGAGGTGCAGAGCGCGAGGGACCTGCCACAGCGGAGCCAAGGCGGGCAGCCCAGCAGGGAACGGGAAAGAAGCTAAACTGGAATCTGATGACACATCACATCAAAACGACCCAGCAGGAGGAAAACATGACCGGCAGGTGGTAGGTACCAGAGACTATGAGGAGCTGGGGCAGACAAAACCCGTGTCCGAGACAACGGTGATGACTGCGGGAGGAGATAAACCTGAGCTTGCAAGTCAAGTCCCAGAGGATCTGAGTCAAATGAACACGACCTCTCATAGGGGAAGAAAATCAATGGTGTTGGGGGTGAGTTTCTCACCCGGGATTCTGTGAGATGTTGCTGGGATTCCATATAAAACCGTGACTGAAAATGCTGATTTTGAGCTGGTCCTGCAGATCGCTGTCCCGGGCGGGGAGGGGTGACTGAGCAGCCGGTCAGTGTCCGCCGCCTGCGTGCAGGGTGCAGAGGGCCCGCGTACTTGGGTGGGCGAGGAGAGGCCGTGGACAGCTGGCGACCACTGTTCCACAGAGGGGAGTGTGGTAGGACTGCGACCGTGGCCTCACCCCAGCCTGACCCTCAGCACTGCCAACTGACTCAGGGGAGCGAAGAGGCTCTGAAAATACAGGGGGGCCAAAAGCAGGTCTATCGTTGTGAGTATGAGAAATACGGAGTTTCTTCTTGTATTATTGTTATTTATTCATTATTGTATTCTTTTTCACCCGAACGACCCTGCTCCACTCTGTGCAAACTTAGAGGGACGTTTTCATTCTAGGAAGGAACGTTCGTGTTGTAACTCAGTGGTGTCCTGCCCTGTGGTCGTTCACGTTGCCAAAACACCGGCCAAATAGGTTAGAAGTGGATTGTGACGTTCTTGTACTTTCTGTGATTTCTTAGTTAGATATCATGCCTGTGTTTATATTTTATTAACCTTTGTTCATCACAAACAGGTCTGACAGCCCAGGGCCGCAGCTTGGGAAGGCGAGGTGCGAGGTGGGAGAGGGCCGTGCTGGGCACAGACTGCAGACCCCGCGGATGAGGCTGGGGATGGACACTCGGTCCCCAGAGGCGCGTCAGTGTACCAGTGCGGCGAGGCACTGAAAGAAATCCCTTCTTTACAGCAAAAGCTTTTAAAACTTTTTAATGGGTTTATGTGGACGTATAATCCAAGCTGTCCGATTCCATTGTGCGTTGTCTGTCCAAAGCAGCGTACAGGTCCAGCATTTGGTCCAGCCGTTGTAGCTATAAATCATAGCAATTTGATTAGTAAAGATGTTGATTATTTCAAAAGGCTTTTGGAGTATCAAAACAGCAAAGTTTTTGTTTAAAAAAATCACATCCACTGAAAAGGCGTAGGGAGCGAATGATCTAGTAGCAGGACTCATTTGAGAAAAGAAAACTTCACATAGTTCGTAAGAACCTGACAATGCCAACATTAAAATGCTAGGGCAAGAAGTACACAAAACTGGAAACACGTCACTCCAATTTAATAAATTCACTTATGTCATATGATGCAAAAGCGCTTTTGTGTGATTAACTGAAAAGCAGCAACTTCTCTATTTGGATTGACCAGTCCAGAGATTTCACCATTATTTGACAGGCTCTATAGCATTTGCAAGATTTGTAAATGATGATGAAATTCAAGACAATGTTTCTACTGCTAAAAGTGCCCCCCCCCATCCCCAAACAAAGCCAAATTAAACCCTGAGCAAAGAGCACATAACTCTTCTACATACAGGAACCCAGTGGCTTATCAGAGCAAGAGGTCTCAGCAGGACACTTGAGTTGAAAGGTGAATTGCCAGAGTACTCACCAGAAAATATTAGGCCAGATTTCGCTGGATGCTGTGAAGATGAAGAATGACGACAGAAACAAGTCTACTTAGCATTTCTCATTGTGTGAACAGATGAACAATTTTCTGCAAGGTCCTGGAGAAAATGTTTTTTCTTGAAAGTGACAAGATTCTTAGATTAAAAAGAAATAGACTCTGGAGCAATCATATGGTCAAAGGAACTCTTGCAATGTGTCCACAGCGCTGTGGGCTTGGGAATGAAGAAAGATAATAGCAGCTCTCAAGCCTTAAGGAAAACTCCTTGAAGAACTTCAAAACCTATATTCTTTCTGATTGGTTTTTCAGGCTTCTTAGGGTATATTTTTAGAAGTGGGATCACTGAGTCAAATGGAAGTTCAATTTTTAATTTTTTGAGGTAACACCATATTGTTTTCCATAGCGGCTGCACCAGTCTGCATTCCCACCAGCAGTGTACTAGAGTCCCCTTTTCTCCACACCCTCGCCAACACTTGTTTGATGATTTGTTGATGGCGGCCATTCTGACAGCTGTTAGGTGATACCTCATTGTTGTTTTAATTTTCATCTCTCTGATGATTAGTGATGTTGACCCAGGGATCCCACTTCTAGAAATATACCCTAAGAAACCTGAAACACCAATCAGAAAGAATATATGTACCCCCATGTTCATAGCAGCGCTATTTACAATAGCTAAGATCTGGAAACAGCCCAAATGTCCATCAGTAGACGAATGGATAAAAAAGCTGTGGTACATATACACAATGGAGTACTATGCAGCTGTAAGAAAGAAAGATCTCTTATTTTTTGAGACGACATGGAGGGACCTGGAAAGTATTATCCTAAGCGAAACAAGCTAAGCAGAGAAAGACAAATATCACATGATCTCACTTATTTGTGGAATATAATGAACATAACAGTCTGAGGAACGGGGTAGTCCCAGAGACTTGGAAGTGGGGTACAGACTGACAATCCCCAGAAAAGGAGGTGGGGGGGGAGATAAACCACAGAACTTATATGCATGTATGCATGAACAATGGACATGGACAACAAAGGTGGGGACAGGGTGGGGAGGGTGAGAGAGGGGGAATCAGTGGGGAGGGAGGAGAAACATCTGTAACAAAAATAAATTAATTAAAAAAAAAAGAACTTCAAAACCAAACTAAATAGCACTCCCCCTCCATGTGTATGGCTGGGAGAGGAACCCTTTCTCTGAATCTTCAGCTTGCAATTTTGTCTGAGAGAAGACAGAACTGAGTCCCAACCTGACAGTTCTGGCTTCCTGTGAAATCCTTCAGCGTAGTGCTCACAACTCACATACTGTGAGGGTTACCTCAATTCGAACACTTTCTCAAGGATTTCTCAAGGCAAAACTATCAGAAAAGCCAGAAGAGACAGACACCAAAGAGGGTCGCAAAATAAAAGGGCCAGATTGACAATATTAAGGGGCTGCGAAATTAGGTTTGGGAGATGGGTTTATTCTTCAATTATAAAAAGTTTGGAAGTATTATAAATGTTAAGACTTCTCCCATCAATAGCTATCTTTACTTAGTGACTAGTAAATGTGAGAATATATTTTTATCCTCCAGCTAGGGGTCCTGCTTGGCAAGCCTGACTAGAAGGAGTTGGGAGGGACAGAGGCTAGACTGGCCCTTGCTCATGCAGGTGAGCTGGGACTCCCTTACGTATCTTTACCTACTTCGAATGTTACCGCTTCATAGGTTGAAGTCATATAGAAAGGATGATAAGAGCAGCATAAGTATCATTTGGGGGAACACAGAGGGTAGAATTCGGTGCCTTTGTTAGACTTGCTCCAAGACAAAAATTGCTTTTATTTTGATAGTGCAGGACTCGGGGATTCTGGGGATAAAATTGGCGATATGCTTCCAGCACATACAACTCTGTGGAACTGGGTTCCTTTTGCTTTGTGAAAGAAAGCTGCAACTCTACAGAAAGATTTTGGTTTGGTAGTTTGTTTTCAGTCTCCTTTCGTGATTATGTGATTCGGTGAGACCTGAGTGTGGCCAGATTGTGCCTCCCCAGCGCTCAAACGTATTCTGTCAGAATCTGAATTCATTCGGAGAATGATTTGTTTTCAGGTTGACCAACTGTTTATTTTCACTGACATGTGAACGTGTTATTTTATAAATGATGGTATTTCAGGGTTAGGATTGAGTGCTTTTATTTTTTTCTTTTTAATTTTTATTTTTAAAGGCTATGTCAGGTTTAAAAGTCCACCTTCAGTGTTGTGGTTTAGTAAACTTGTTTTGCTTGATGGAGGGAAAGTGTTAAACCTGGTATTTTCAAACATGTTTCTCTGAGGTTAAACATGATGTCTGAATGTTATTTGTACTTGTATTTTGCTTTTGGTACGGCCAAATATTGAGCTTGTTTTTTATAGTTTCTGATATTTTCTGAAACATCCAAATAAATCTGTTTCCCAAAAGAAAAGAAGGAAGAAAATAATGAGAAAGGTGTACATTCATCAAACTGGTCCTCTGAGTTTTCCTGTTCTGTTGAATGACTTATCTTTCTTTCTCTGATTTTTATTTTCAGGTTGTATTTAAAGGGTCACACTGGGACAGCAGGACAACAGAGCAGCTTGGTCATACATGGCGCTGATTTCAGCACTAAAGATGCGGATAATGACAACTGTCTGTGCAAGTGTGCCCTCATGCTAACAGGAGGTGAGTCCTTGGGGCCCTTCTCCAAGTTATGTTTCATCAGTGTGAGGCTTGAGGTTTCTTATCAGTGAGAAAGGGCTATGATCTCTGGTCAGAAAGCGTAAGAGCAAGTCCCTGGAGATCATTTGTTCTGCCTCCTAATTCCCCATGTGTTCTTCTGCAAGATATTGCTAGCATTTAGACATTTGCCTCCTCCCCCAACATCTAAGACAAGACGTGCAAAGTTTGGTCCTGAGTACATTCTTTTTTTTTTTTTTATCCTCACCCGAGGACTTTTCCATTTTTTGTTCAGGTAGAGTGGGAGGGAGAGAGAGGAACAGAGAGAGAGAGAGAGAGAGAGAGAGAAACATCGATGTGAAGGGACACATCGAGTGGCTGCCACCCGCACGACTGACCAGAGCCGGGGACAAACTGCAACTAAGGTACATGCCCTTAGCGGGAACCAAACCCGGGTCTCTCAGGACCGCAGGCTGGCGCTCTAACCGCTGAGCCAAACCGGCCAGGGCCTGAGTACATTCTTTAGCCTCTTAAAATCCCAGTTATTCTACCTTCCAAATAATCATAATGATACCCACAGTGGAATGAACAATGATTTGATAATTCAGCATAGTGGGGGGCGGGGGACTTACTAAATGTTTTGCAACTGTGTATCAGAGTCCATTGACAATTCAGTTGAAATGGAATAAGAAGAATAAAAAGGTATAGTTAGAGCTGAAGTCATACAATTCAGACCAGCTATACCAGGGCTTTGCATTATATGCTATTGATCTCTGCAAGACATCTGAGCTGATGTAAGAGATGCTATTAAATAGTATTGTATCTGAGTAAGAAAGTTAATCCTTTTTGCACTTTTTCAGTATTTTTCCAGCATTCTGATTGTGTAAAAGGAAAATTCTCAATTCTAGGCTAGCATATCTGTAATGATTCTTCATCATTTCTCACTAACCACCCTTCTTAGCAGAGAAAGAGCAACGCCTTCATCCACAGGCTCCGGGCCTTGATGAGGTGGTGGCATCGACCTAGAACCAAATAATGTGCTTTTGTTTGAATTATATTGAGCTCTATCTCTACTTTTATTACAGCAAGTGGTACTGATTTTCTATTTAAAGGAATGATATAAACTTTGCATTTTTAAATGTATTTATAATTTTTGATAGTTAACCAATCACTGATTTAAAGAAAAATATTTTTACTTTTATTAATTATTAATAAAAGTTCTAAGCGGATATGGCAAGAACTGCAAAGGTGATAGAGGGTGGACTGAAGTTTGAGAAGCACTGAGCTAACCCCAGGGGCAAATGATGCGTCTCAGGGATGTGCTAGGCTCCGCCAGAGAAGGGGTTGCCACCAAACAAAACTGTAAAGGAAGCTTTTCCCCAGCATTTCTTCTCCCCGTTCTACTGTTTCTCCCTCCAACTGCTCTGATTCTCTCTGTTATTCTCCAGCAAAACACCTTTTCATCCTAGCAAGCAAAAAACTGTTTGAATCTAACATTTTTCTTACCCAAATAGGATATTATCACCATCATTCTCACATATCATTACCTTTGTCGTACTGTCTTACTTGAACTGCAAACCAACTCAGTGAGATAAGGGGGGAGAGGAAGTCTAGTCTCCACGCTGCACGTAAGAAAAACAAAAGTAAATTAATGTTTGCCATTTTGTCCTTAACATCTAATGCACACAGGAACTCACTGAAAAATACGGTGCATGAATGAATGAATAGCCATCTTGTCACCCTTGAAATCACTTGCTAATTTTGAAGCCAGTGAAATGAATCATTAGGTTGACATTTTTCTCGTCAATTAACAGAGCATAGAAGAGTATGGAGGGAAGTTTTTGGAGAAATCTTTCTGCCTTCATCCCCATCCCCAAACTCTCCATTTACACTGCCATCAAATAACATCCCTTTGTCCCCATCCACTCCATCTTACTCACACTTTCAACATGAGACCAGCCCTAGTATTGTCAGTGCCCACTGTGACTCTGCCTGTCAAAACCTTCTCCTCAAGCTTGAAACATGCCCTTTGGCATCACACTGGACCTCATCAAATAGTGACAGGTCCTCTATGTGTAATTTTTTGACCCCCTCTCCAGAATAGTTGGTAGAAATTTCAAATATTTTAATTGTAGGTTTTAGAATATGTGTGGCTGAAGCGAGCACAGGTGGATTAGGTTTTGAACTTTTTTCCAGAGGCGGAAATTTTCATTTTATTACCTTCCTGATCCCATGAATGGAATTGTCAGAAATTTGATACAAAGACAAAAGGACTTTGATTGTCCACTTTCCTGCCCGTTTTAATAGTGAAATACACTCATTTTCTTCATGTCTGTTTTTACAGATAGTTTTTTCTTACCAAATAAATACAACACATGAAAGGCCAACAGTAAAATCTTTCAAATGTTTCCTACAAGAACGTCCAATGCGTTCATACGTCTGTCACAATAATGAAAACGGAGAGCAAAGAGGAGAATGCCACTCTTGGTTGTCCATGTGAAAACATCATCGCTCAGATTTATGGTTTTATTTCTGCTTCAAATGATTGCACTTTGTCAGGTTCTTTCATCCATTATCATTCCTGGACCGACCTGCTTCTTACTCACCAGTAAACACATATGTTGGGGAGAGAAAACTTCCATTGCTTGGGCTGGAATAGTCTAAGTAAATGTGTTTTTGTAATAAATGCCATTACCCTATCAAATATCCTCTTGAAAGAATCCAGGTCTTGCAAAGCTATTCAGTCTACAAAGCTAGTATGTGGAATTTAGATAGCTAAGAACTGGGGAGTGTAAGTCGGATGTCAGTGGCAGTCCAGGGCATGCGAGTATTGCCTGGAACTTACGTCTACTTAGCTGCCCCCCGCTGCCACTATATACTCTCTCTCATATTTTCCCTCAGAACCACTTTCTTCATCCAGTGCTATTTTCTTTTAATTTGTATTTGAACTTGTCACCTATTTAAAATAGTCTCTTTTAAGCAGTGAGAGTCCATACTCTTTGAAACTAATAATTTATAGTTCTCTGTCATCATCAATTAAAGCTTTTTTATCTTGTTTATGTTTTTGCTTTGTTTCTTCTACAAGGAATTACGGGTAAAGTAAGATTTATTGCCCACTAACTGTCCTCAATAGTTTTCTTCAAATACATGGAAGGACTTTAGTTGGGAAATGCGGTATCGTTGTTTACCCTTATCTCTCAAAGACTGAGCAACAGGAGAGGGGCTTAATTGAAAGCAGAAGGTATTTCAGTTAGACATGTGGTAGGACATTTTGATCTTTCTTCTTTCCTAACGTTCTAACTTCTTAACTTTCTTCTATCAATTTAATATATTTTAATGAGTATTAAAGGTCAACTACTATTCAAGGAATGACCAAGATAGACTAGAGTTCACCTCTGTTGAGGCAGACCATCCACAAAAAATGTAAATAAGTAACACAGTTTAAAACCATTCAAGTTCTGGGGACACAATATACCATGTGCTAGAGCTACGGGAGGAATGAGCACGTGACTTTAGATGGAGTGTCCAGGGTCAAAGGTTGGAAGGAGTTGCCAGGGAGCCTTGTGCATTTCTGGCCATGGACACCTTTACAAAGAGAACATAAAGCTGTTCACATGACAGAGTTTACTTATGCATGTCCCGGTAGCTGTGGCTCAAGAAAAGATTGTCCCTTACGTTTTCTTCAGGTTCAGTGATTCTCTTACCCACGTCCTCACTGCAGTGGCAGTAGTATTCCTTTCGGTGCGTGGGCTGTGATTCAGAGCGCACTGTGGGATGGAGGCGAGGCGTAGCCAGCCGAGAGAGCACATCCGCATCGATAGGAATAGATGCCACAGTGGTTTACCCCTCCTTTCGCAGAAGCATAGTCCTCACCAGAAAGCCAGCCATTCTTCCATCCAGTTTGAAATTTGAATAACTTTTATATTGCATTGCACATTTCTTATGGAATTGGGGTCAGAGTTACTACACACATTTTTATGGATGTGACCCCTCTATTAATCATTACATAGAGGTGAGTTAGCGACAGAGATTTATGAGCCAGAAATCATCTGTGCTCAGTGATTCTATTGACCTTAGGAAAATTTGTAAGTTTTCTCCTTAGGCTTCTCCTTTAATATAACATACTGTGACAAATCTGCATATTTAAGTAGTAGGAGGGGTAAATGTAAGAGATGACTAGGAAATAATTATTTAGCCCCACAGGAAAGCTCCTATTGTGCCCTCCAGGAATCAGTTTCTTATAAACATAATGTTTTATCTACTATTAACATAAAGAAAATTAAAATGTAATCTCACTCAATGCATGCTTTTTTACATGGACTTATTGTGTATAAAAATAAAAATGCAAGGAACCTCTGACTTCCAAATTATGAAAATGAAAACCTTTTATCACTAGATTGTCACAGTCAAAGCAAACTTAGACCCAACGCAAATGTGGTCCTTAGTAGTAAATGAGCATTCTTCAAAATAAGTATTTCTAAAAGCCTGTTAGAGACTGCCGTTGCTAAAGGTTGCCGACAAACACAAAACCTGGTATTGTTTTAAATTCTTTCCCTTACCTTACTTTTCTTTCACCACAATTTCCATATTTAGTGTATAATGTAAAAGCTATGTAAAAATGTGGCCTAACCTTCTGCGGAAAGAAATCTGTTGTGGCAGAAACTTCAGTGTGTTTTCCCACGCATAAACCATGTCAGCCAACAGACAAGACTTCGCTAAAGCTAACAAAGCATATCTCTAGTTCAGTCCTACACGGGGATAAAGCTGTACACATAAATTTAGTACACCCTAGAACTCAGCAGATGTAGCAGCAGAAAGTTGATAAATGTTTGTCTTGCCTCCTATACAATCTGAAGAAGACAAAGAAAATGAAAGAAAGTAGTAGCTTCTCCAACTGGTTGAAGTGACAAGATTTGGGGGGGAAATAGAATCACCTTAGAGATTCCAACAACCCAGGAAGGATGTGCTAAGCATTGTCAGATAACTGCATTCCCTAAATTTTAAGG